GGTTGCAGGGTCGGGAAGGCAGGGATTTGAGGGTGATTGTTGGCTGGGGGGTAATGGGAGAAGAAGGAAGGAAGTTTAAGCCAGACACAGCAGGTAGTTACTGCTGTTGGCACCAACAGTGAAGAGCCACAGTCTGGTTGGGACAGAGACACAAAGACACTAGAGAAGGGGGCGCGGGAGAAGGAATGGAAGAAGTAAGGCCACAGATAAGAGGAGATCCTAGGCAAAGCAAACTAATCAGAGCCCTGCTGGGAGACCTCGGAGGCCAGGTTCCCACAGGACACACAGAAGAGGGAAGAGTTCAGACAAGTACAGCCCAGAGTCCGCTCCGTCAGAGATGGACGCTGCTAGCTGTGGGCTTAGCTAAGTTCCCTGGGCATTGGATTCTCTTTTATAAAATGTGCCCCAGGGGTTTCTGACTTCTCTTTCTAGTGTTGTCTATATTTCTTTAGACACTATTGAATTTAAAGATTATCAGGAATACTTTTGTCGACGTGGGAGTTGACAAAACCCATTTGTTGTGTTATTTACCCTATCCACCCAAAGAAGTGGGGTCAGGCTAGATAGTGATTGCCCCAAGATACCTCAAAAATGCAAAAAGTGATTGAAAGCATGGTTCACCCCAAAGAAACCCTCAAGATAGCCAGGTGTGCCGTCGAAGGGAATTCACCCACGGGCACAGCGTGGCTTTGCCATACGGTTTTTGAGCTTGTTTTCCATTTAAGCGTAGTACCACTGAGCCGCATTCCCAGCCCATCACTTCTTTTCTTTTACTGGGAATCTTTCGTGTCCTCACGCACTCCAGGTACTTCTTGCACAGTTTGGAGAGTGGCCATCTTCCGTGGCCTGTGTCAGTCTTCAGCATCCAGGCGTTCCTCGGCCCCGTCAGACAGGAGCCTTCTGGGTGGCACCAGCTGTTTCTGAAAGAAAGTCATGCCTTCACCATTCGTGTATGATTTACATAATTGTATTCTTTAATTAGCTCAAACTTTTCCCTTGAAGCTGTGGCATGGTGTGAGTTACCGCACTTTTGAAAACTAGACGTTAAATTTCCTCTCCGTCAGAGAGGCGGGGCTTTCATCTGTAACACAGCACAAAGGGAAGCTGTAAGTCATCAATTCTTCTCTATGAGATAGACTTTGGAGGGGGGAGAAAAAACCAACACCCGTTTTTTTGGTTGCTTTTAAATATACCCCCACCATCGGTGAGCTGCCAGTTAACTCTGGTGTTGTCTCTTCAGTGTCTTGAGAAACTCTTTGTTTAAAAGAATGTGCCTTGAATTTCATTATCCCTGCCCCATTGTAAATCCTCAGTCACACTGGCTCTCTCTCCCACCCCAGTTAAAGACTGCCTTGGGGCCTGGTGCTGGTAGCAGGGACAGGTAGGAAGGAGCCTGCTGTGCAAAGGACAGTGTCCCTGGTTCAAGGCAGGTGTTTCTGTCATCCTCGGCTGGAAGAAAGAAAGCCCATCCTTGAGCTGAGCATGTGAATCTCGCCAGAAACCAGATGGGAAATTTGCATAAACTTGTTATTCATTTCGGTTCTGAGGGCTTTTACCAGTGAGGTGGAGATTCCACAGGGGTCTGCTAGGCCTTTCCAGCTCCGTCCCCTCCAGAATCAAACAAAGTTGTGAGTGCTTGCCCTCCTGTGGACCATTGCTCCTTGTCACAAAGGAGGTTACCACTCAAAACAAGTCAGTCCTCTCACAGACCTGCCTTTCTTGTTCCCACCTCCGCCCACCACAGCTCAGGAGCACTCTGTGGATGGACTCAGACATGAGTCTCCCAGCTGTTAACATGTGTGTCCCACTGGCTTGCCCATGTTCCAGATGACATTAAAGAACACAGGAGCCAAGGGCCCCAAACAAGGGCAGACAGCTAATGAGAGCCATTTTCTAAGAAGGTGGAGATGGGCAGCTAAGCAGGAAAACGGGGGTCGGGTGCCAGAGCCGATGTGAGACTTTTCATCATAGTTCACTACCCCGTGAGTGATGGTGACTTCACACCCAGGGGTTCCAGAGACCCACGGTGATGAAGCCAGGTATCAGCGAGCGCGTGTTCAGGCTCCACAGTGGTGGACAAGCAGGCAGGCGTAGTAGGGGCCTTGCCCTGTGAGCTCAGGCTGAGAGGGGGACAGCTGTGTGTTTGCTCCAGTAGGGAGTGACTCTGCCAGGGCACAAATGGTGGTGTCCTCTTTCAAAGACCCATACTGCCTTGTGCCGTTCTGGTGTGCCGTCTCTGTTGTTGTTTTCCAGGAACTTTTGGGAATGCCAGTCGCACATGCCAAGTAGTTTTGTCGTTTCGGGGTTAGGCTGAGGAAAACATTGCCAGTCTTCCTTGAGTTTGTTTTTTCCAAGGAGCTACAGCAAGAACATTAAGATGGAGCAGCCCTGGTGAGAGACTCCAGTGGAACGCGTCTTCGGGCTTGGTTCTTCCCACTGGCATCATGTGTACTAAGAAGGGAATAGACTTGCGCCTGACTAAATTTAGCCTCCTCCACTCTCAGGATGGCTCATCTTGTGTAAAAGCCCAACTCTGGGCTAATGAGTTTTTTGTTGTTGTTGTTTCTCATCCAGAAAACTTACGACGTGCTGAGTGGTGGGAGCAGCTGCCGTTGTCTGTGACTCCTTGGGGGTTTTGAATGACATTTCAGGGCTCCCCTGAAATCTCCGTTTATGACTAGTTTTTACTTCAATACTTAAAGCAAGCAGTATCTCTTAGCCCCCAAAGAATTAACTCTATTCAGATGGTTCCCAGTTCTTCCTGTAGGGGGAAACACAGTGGCTGTAGATCAGTGTTGTTGGCGCAAATGAGCCCATTGCAATGAGTCTGATTTTTAAATAGCCAAGACTGCGCACAAAAGAAACATCCTGTTCTCAGTCTTTAGATTTATGGGTATTGAGCTAAGCTGTTGTCATACACTAGACGGGCATTTGTGAAGAGAAGAAACTAAAAGCGCTTGTTGTAAACCAAGATTGAATGTATCTTTCTGTTACTAAAAAAAGAAAAAGAAACTGACTGTAAGGGCACTAGGAGCCTTTTTCATCTGAGGTAGGAAATCTGAGATTCCAGGGGGTCATTGACTTACATAAGAAAGTTGCCGCCAAATACTGACTTTTAATTTTTTTATTTATTTATATTCTATGTATGAGTGTTCTGCATGTATGCCTGCAGACCAGAAGAGGGCATCATATCCTATTACAGATGGTTGTGAGCCACTATGTTGTTGCTTGGAATTGAACTCAGGACCTATGGAAGAGAGGGTCTGGAGCAGTAGCTCAGTGGTTAAGAGGACTGGCTGGTCTTCCAAAGCACCCAGGTTCAATTCCCAGCATCCCCGTGGCAGCTCATAACTGTCTGTAACTCCAGTCTCAGGGGATCCTACAGCCTCATAAAGACATACATGCAGGCAAAGCAGCAATGCACATCAAAATTAAAATGAAAAGAAACATTTTTTAAGTTTTGAAAAGATTGGCTTTTGTAGTAGGGCTGGGAGAGTGCAGAGGAACCTCAACTGAAGGCGACTGTGCTATCTATCCCAAGGAACACCCAGGAAGTCTAAGAAACAACCCCTTTCTGGGTGAATGCCTTCCCATGAGAGATAGTCCTCCTCAGATGCCACCTGTAGATATGAGGGCAGTATGGCTGTGACATCTGTCATCTCACTGGCTCCCGGTGTGTTTATTCAGCTGTCTCTGGCTGGCTAGATAAATGTCCTCCTACTCCCTCACTGTCCCACGTGTCCCCTTCCAAAGCGGCATGCTCCATTGAGGACGACCTTCCCCAGCAGAGAAGGGCCATCCTTCAGTCGGGAGTGTACACATGGCCGCATTCCGCTGCTAGTCCCTCCAAACAAGCCCCCAAGGTCAAATTCTGCCCAGCACAGCCTAACTGAACTAGAAACCCGTTTGTGTGACTTTGTGCTAATAGCTCTCGAGATGGAGGTCATCGCATCTTGGTTAAATGCCATCTCATTTGATCTCATTTCTCACAAATGCCCTGAACTAGAGTTGCTGTCCCCTCTTCACTGGTGGGTGACCTAGGTCAGAGTGTGCTGACCTGGGTGACAGTAGCTGCGGGGCTGGTGTGCGAGGGAGAGCAGGTCCCTGTGGGTCCTGCATCTCTTCTCCTCATCGCCTCAGCTCTCTGGTGCTCTGCCTCCTCAGCCTGTTGCTCTAGATAACTCCTATGTGTCACATAGAGGACTGGGCCCTGTTGCACTGCCTTTGACAGACCAGAAAGGGATAGAGGATTAGATGACATCTCTAGGGCAGAGGGCAGAGGTAGCTCTGAGAATGGAACTCAAAACCTGCTGTCCCCAGCCCAGCCCAGCCCCATCTGCTCCCAGCTCCTTTCTGCATTCCCCTCCTCTCTTCCCTGTCACTTCTCTGTCCCCACCCCCTTTCCATCACTTCTCTGTCCCCGCACTCCTTGGTACTACTCTGTGCCCAGACCCTTGAAGTTTTCCTCTCCTGCCTCTTTCCTTTCCCAGCTCTGTCCTCCATCGTCTGCTCTGTGCCCCTCCAACCATCCTCCTCATTAAAGCCCCCCGGGGGTCAGGGCCATAGCTTTGATAGGATGTCCAAGGGCTGGGAAGCAGGTAAGGTTGTGTCTGCCTCATTGTTTCTATACATTTTGTTGTTTTTCTTTTTAAATTGTGAGAAGCCGGGGGCTGGAGAGTGAAGATAAGTTCCCCGCCAGTGTTTCCTACGATCAGTCTCCTGTGTTTGACTGTGATATTATAAGCTTGGTTACCCTCCCCCAGCTGCTCCGTTGCCTCTGTAAATTCAGCTGGCAACTCTTGGCTTCATCGTAATGTGGCTCGAAATACTCTCTTCTGGGTGGTAGGGTTCAGCTAAAATAAGCACAGAAAGGCTATTAATGGCTGCAGAGCTGGGAAATACGGTGGGATGTCGGCGCTGAGGGCTGCTGTTGCAGACTGGGTGTGGTATGGATGCTAACCTACTGTTTCTGCTCTCCCCCCATGCCTTCCTGGATTCAGAGAGAGGTAACCAGCTATTTGTCACTTCTCCCCTTCCCTGTGTCTCATGTGTCTGACAAAACTCACTGCTTCTTCTATGGCAGCACCAACTTCACAGCCTTCTCTGCCTCCAAAGGCAGGCCTTTGTTCGTTTAACCTCTCTCCCCAGCGTTTGCACCCAAGCCTGGAGTTGCATCTGGGCCCCTAACCTTCTTCTGTGTAACCTTCTTCTGTGTTTGGTCCTGTTTGGGGAGGGTGATGGGCTAAGTGACTAAGAATAATAGCCACCCCACCAGCTCTCTCTCACTAATGGCTGAACAAATGACTCAGCATGCTGGGAAGTGAATGTGACAGAAATGTTTGGGTCTCGTGTCACATTATACCTGTTTCTTGAAGAGTGACAGTTTGGTCCTTTGTTGTGTCCTCTTAAGTTTCCTGGGTAGCTAGCCAGAAGCACAGTCCATTTCAGTATCAGTTATTATCCACAGTATGGGCAGGGAGCCCTCATTTCCTCCTTGAAGGATGTATCCTTGGAGAGGACATAACCATGAAATTCAAGGTGTCTATACATCAACTGTGGTTTTAAAATGATCTATGTCAGCCTCTCAATTGACAGTGTGGAAGCACGAAGCTCCATCATTTTCCAAAGCTGTCACACACACACACATACACACACACACACACACACACACACACACACACACACACACACACCATTTTTGGTAGAAGGTAGGCATTTAAGAAGTTCCGGCCACAGTGAAGAGACTGGAGGATGAGTTCTTCCTTGCTTTGGGCTCAAACCTGGCTACATTTCTGGTATCATGTCTAGTAGCCATCTTTCTGTCTTACCCACGAGCTCAGTGGTCCAGCAAGTGAGACAACATGAACATATCAGGTCATACTTAGGGGATGGAACTAGCAGAGGATATGATGAAGAGAATTTCTCCTTTTAGGGGGATGCATCCTGGGCCTAAGAGTGAGATGTAAGTCTCTTACCCCTGTGTACCACAAGTCCTACTGGAGTCCATGGTGGGGAGGTTTCCAGACATTTGCCTTCTCTTCTCTTCCGTGTATGCCCAGGTCTCCTTACTCGGAGACAGCTGTGACAGCTGTTGTGAATATTAACAACAATACCATGCGCTTTTGCCTTCTCTTCTCTTCCGTGTATGCCCAGGTCTCCTTACTCGGAGACAGCTGTGACAGCTGTTGTGAATATTAACAACAATACCATGCGCTAGAGAATATGAGCCTTCTGTTCAAGCCTCCTCGCTCATGGCAGATGGTAGAATTCAGACATTCTGTTTACACAGTCCACATCTCGGGAAGGTGCCTGGAGAGTCCCAGCCGTGCAGAACATGTTCGCCCCAGGTAGCAAGTTTCCGGGCTGCCCCTTTTCAGAGTATAAGCTAGAAGAAGGAAAGTTTACCAAGATGAAACCCAAGCTTCGTGAGATCCCTGATACCCACCCGTGATACTGTTGATGTTGGGTAATATGAAGCAGAAAAACACCACCCAAACAGGCATGTAGACAAACATTCTAGACCAGCCATGCAGGGCAATGAAATTCCTCATGACCCATTGTCCCTCGTCCCTGTTCCTCCCATCCTCAAGACAAAACTTCCAAAGTATGCTCTCAAGATGAAAGGAGACCATCTTAGACATAGGATTCCTTTTTCCCCCCCAGGTACTAGCGGTGTTAGTAGTTGTATTTTGATAGTTCCAGGATCCCGGTCAGCACTCTGTGTTCTGGTGTGGGCCGACTTTCCAAATTCCAAAATCCTGTGCTCAGCTCTGTATGTGAAGCAAAGGGGAGAGAAAGCCCCCATCCAAAGGTGCTGGAAGTATCTAGGTCCAAGTCCCTTTGCAGCTGTCTCATCCTGACTTGTCCTCTCAGGAACCACTCTGTCGGCTTGTGTGTAGCCTCCATTAAAAGGCAGGCCATGCAAGCATTGAGTAAAGCATCCTTCATGGAAAGGAGAGTGCACCCCAAAGTGGGCTTTTCTTTACTGTTCCTGAAAATGGTGACTGCCACTCGCCAAATGTCTGCCATGGGCCAACCTTCACAAATACTCTGCATAAAAACATCAAGTTGGCCTGAACAACTATGAATTTCATGATGGTGTCACCTAGTCTGTGGAGCCTTGGTAAGAAATTCCAGTAGAGGAGATTGGGTAAGACAGTGGAAGGAAAATGAGTCGAATGGAAAAGAGGGGAAGACAGCACAGCGACCACCATGTGGGCCAGCATTCAAGGTCATCGTGTTCTGGGTCTCCCTGGAAGGTAAAACTAGTTCAAGCACCAAAAAAATCAGGGAAGGGAATTCTAGTTTCTCAGTGAGAGAAACAAACTCTGTGTATGTGTGTGTGTTGGGGGTGTCCATCCAGTCACAGGGAAACCTTCCAACAGGACAGGCTGGTTCCATAAGAAAACAAGGTTTTCTGTCTGGGCACCACTTGTCAGGGTTACTGTAGCAGGGGACAGTTAATGCACACAGCAGCTAAGGGGTCTTTAGACACCTCTTCAGTTCCTTGGGCAGAAAGAGAAGCACATAAGTAAATTCCATATACCCTAAGAGAGTTGCCGGAGACACTAAGAATGAACTGAGAAGCTGTTTTTAATGGAGGCCATTTGAATAAAGAATTGCTTATTCGTTCATCCCATGAAGACTGAGCAAGCCCCAGCAGGGTCCTTGGATGCCATAGCGCAGAGAATAATGAAAGCAATCTCTGGCTCTTCACTTTGCCATTAAGAAATTTGAGGCTGTCAAAGATGCCCTAGGGCTGACAGTTTTTTCTCTTGGGCAGAACTTGAGGCTGGTCCTCTGGGGGAATAATTACTGGGGAGAACAGCAAAAGGACAAGAAGCAGAAAAGCTGGACATACACGGGCCCAGTAATCAAACTGCTAGATGGGCTTGAGTCCTGTCACAGCGTCTGTCAGGGTTCAGGAGACATGAGGTTACAGATGCAAGCTTCCCACCGCCTGATTTCTACAACAAAACTCCACAATCCCCATGATGGCAAGAAACAAATGGAGTGGGACTCCGGGCAGGATGACCTGCCCCACGCCTGCTTTCACAGATGGCCCCTGGTCCAGCCTTGGACAGCTGGAGCAAAGGGTTCCTATCATCAGACAGAATGCCTTGGACAGATATCTAGTAGAATGTGTGATAAAATAGAAGTCGTGTTGTGACTGGAGCCTGGTGGCCATTTAGTCTAGTGGTGTGGTTTTATAGATGAGATGCTGTCCCTGGAAGATGCCTGGCTGTGTGAAATGCCCAACCACCAGGGGGCAGCAGAGGAGCCTATCTCTAGAGATCTGACACAGCTCTGGAAGAGAGAAATGTCCCTACTGTGTACCAGCCAGCCACCTATCCTACAGTGTCTGAGCCACAGGGACGGACCAACTGCTTATACCTCATAGTATCCAAGTTGCTGCAGACCAACTGGGGTGTGACATTTGATAGGCACATGGCCCTTGGTAGTCTCCTCCTAGGTTCATGGCCCTAGCACTGGGATGATCATTTGCCCAACTTCCAGGGGTCCCTGACTATGGAAGGATATATACAGTATGGCCTCTTTAAGCCCTAGAATGCAGGAAAATCACTAAGAAGCATGAAAGAACCCCAGGGGCTAAGCCTAGTAGCCAACAGCATCACAGGACTGTCAGGGCAGTAAAATTTTCTAACAAGTTAGTTGATGCCATTTTGACCATTGTGGAAGTTGAGTAGTCGGACATGAGAGTTCATTTCTTGTCTGCTTTCATATGTAATTGTTAAGTTCCAAAGAGAGACATGGTTTTCGTTTTTATTGTTTTGGTTTTGGTTTTAAGCAAGCAAGATACTGATTTTGCTTTAACTAGGATCCCGCATTCCCTTCTCCAGATCAGGGTCCAGGAGGACAAGGTTCCTGTCAGCTTCCCCTTCTCCCGACGACCTAGTCTGTCTCCTACTGTTTAGCGCCTCAGGTCTGGGAACTTCTCCCAGCCTTACCTTGGGCCTCCTGGCCCCTCAGCTCCTTCCCCACCTCCCTTCTGAGGCTTCTGCGTTCTCCGCACTGGTCTGCTCTGCTGACTTCAGCTCCCCCTCCAGTCTGTGTCCCCCTCACGGACCTCAAGGACCAAGTGAATGTGTTGGTGGACCTCCCCACTGTTGCCCTTGGAGCACCTCAAACTCCCTGTCCACCATCGCAACAAGTTTTTTGAAGCACATGCCACATATGTCAGGGCACATGTAAGAATGCAAGGCTTGAATGGCTCAGAGTAAAGGCACACAGCGGGGTGGTGCTGTACAGACAGATGGTAGAGTCCTGGGACTGCATCCATATAGCCACCACAGCTCCTGCTGTATGCAGAGGACAACCAGAGGCTCTTCCAGGCACCTGCTCCTTGCTTACCCTGGAGAGGCTGTAAGGAACCGCTCCTATAGCTCTGACCAGTGTGCGGAATTTGCCAGTGGGCTTCCTGGCTGGAACCTTGTCTGTCTGTGTTTGCATCATTGATGCACCATGGCGTTGACACAGAAGGAAACTGCGGAAGTGAATTGGCTGTTTCAAAGCATACCAATGCTGAATGCCATGCTGCAGCTTGCAGGAAGTCGTGGGGCGGCTGTACAGTTTCCTGTTGCTGCTATAACAAATTGCCCTCTTTATTCATGGAAGGGGCACTAGGGAGGCCTATGAAGCCTCCTAGGGTTAGCGAATGGTCTCACACACTACTCTCACCTCTCAGATCTCTGCCTAGCTGTTATCTACCTAAGAAGAAATAGACATAGGCTGCTCAAATTTTGTGAAATGCCCTCCCCCCCAAAAGCCCAAGGCTGTATGCTTTCTCCTTTGGGAAGATGTAGGTTCCAGGCAGCTGCCCTGAGGCATTCATCACCTTCCCCTGAGAAGGAAGAAAATGAAGATTAATAATAATGATTTTTTAAAAATTATGCCTATGAGGTTACACATGAAAACAGACAGCACAAAGCTTGGGAGGGCTGATCCAGTGATCCAGGTGTGTCCCTTCCTCTCTGCTAGTAACCTTGGCAATGTATGCTTCCTGCTGCCTGTCAATCAGGCAGGGAGAGGAGGCTGAATTCTGGAAGCTTCCATCAGAAGCAAAGCAACATAGAAGTAATTATCTCTACCCACACAGAAAGATGGGGTTAATATCCATGCCTGGGATCACATGGGTCCAATATTCTTCTCCAAGATGCTTAGCGCCAGGAGGATTTGGAATGTTTGCATCTATGTGATGAGATGGGATCCACGATTCAATGTGGCAGTTATTTCTTGTTCACATAAGCCTAAGGCAATTTTAACACCCATTTGATAATTTCATTAAAATGTTTCATGGTGTGGAATTTTCTACTTGTGGTACCCTGTCAGCACCCAGGATGTTTTGGCTTGAGGATTTGGGGGTTAGGGATGGTTAGCTAAGTAGAACCAGGAATGGACTTGAAGCTGGTTTGCCTGAATCCAGTGCCCTTCTGTATGTTCCTTCCTGTCCATTAGAGAGGACAGAGACAGAGGGGAACTGTACACTTCTACAAGAGAGTATAGCAAACAGACCTTGCAGAGTGACAGCATTTAATCAAGCAAGGCCTTGTGGACCAGAGGGCCAGGCAGGCCTCTGGTAGACTGTGCTGGGCAGGTGAGTGAGCTCTGGACAGTGCGGGAAGGGTGAATAGTCATCCAGTGAGGGAAGATACATGCAATCAGCAGAGGGAGAGACTTTGATAGGAGGGATGATGCTTGGAAGATGTTACACACATTTCACAACTCTTAAAATCTAGACTAGGGTGTTTACACTTTCTGTGAGTGACCCAAGGGAATCTGGGGAGATTTGGCCTCAGAAACATGGTAGCCAGACCAGGGAGTTGGAAGGAAAAGGGTTGTAAGACATGGTGTGCCTTACTGTCTGAACCATCTGGGAAGTGAGGGGTGCCTGGGAAGGGAGCCAAGAGCAAGGCTTCCCTGAGCAGTCTCCAGAAGTGAATGGTTACTTTTCTAGGCCATGTGTTTCCTTGATGGCACTTGAGCCTGGCACGGGGGGGGGGGGGGGGGAGCCTGTGTTCGCCTCTCTCAGTCTGCCCTGTCCCCAAATCTACCTCTTCACCCAGTGCCAAGGTATCCATTCACACCTCCGGGTCAATACCACCATCCCCTATAAGCACTGGGGACAGGTAGAGCAAGCTTGTGCCCCGGTCCGCAAATATTACCAATCCCTGTTGTGGTCTGACCCAAAATAGGCACTGGGAATAAGATTTAAACCATCTTCATGGAATTTCATGGCTTGCAGGATGCCCACTGGTGAGCATAGTGTATACAGGGAACCTGGGAGCACTGCAGAGTCCACAGTTGCAATAGAGTAGAGACCGAGTAAGCAAAGGCAGGGAAGAGAACTTCTAAAATGCTGGGCACTGGTCAGGCTGGAGGGGGAGTAAGGGATTCAGGTGTCCAGGTGGTAAGATAGGACAAAGCATTAGGATTGGGTACAGGGCTATGGTTGGCAAGCTAGAGGACATTTGACATTTGACATTGCAACACAGAGGATGCCAACTGAGATAGCCAATGAAGGAGCAGGTTAGGGCTGATCCTAAGAGTAGAACCTGTGAGGTAGCAGGCAGGGATGTGCTAGCCTGGAGCCTATGTTTATGACCAACTCCAGGGCACATCGGCAGGGAGACAGGTTTCTCTTACCAATCCTTCGAGCACACCAACTTTCCTTCATCCTAGACCTTCATATGGTCATCTATGAAAATACTGTCAGCTCCCATATTAAGAGAATTTAACCTGCACAGTAGCTCACACCTGTAATTCCAGCACATGGGGAGGTAGAAGCAAGAGAATTGCTGTAAGTCTGTGGCCAGTCTGGGCCACATTGTGAGACCATATCTCAAAAATCCACCAATAGTTAAGAGTGCATCCTGCTCTTTGAGAGTACCCGAGTTTGGTTCCCAACACCTACCTCACAACTCTAGCAGCAGGGAGATTGGATGCCTCTGGCCTCAAGGGGCACCTGCACACCATGCACATACCCATACACATATATACTATTTAAAAATAGAATAGATTGGAAGACAAGTAACATAAAAATAAATTCAACTGCTGTGAAGTTAGCTCATGCTATGGTTTTGGCACTTGAACAGTTAAGCAAGAAGATTAGAGTCCCAGGCCAGCCTGGCCTACACAATGAGACCTTTCATTTCCTCTTTGGAGAACCACTGTCTCCATTAATAGTAGCAAGAAACTTAGTTGTATGGTATGGTTGTTCTGAAGCCAAGCAGACAGAGCAATCCAGCATGGGCCACTTGCTCAAGTTAACCAGATATATGACACAAGAGGCCAGCACTTCTCCCAGAGCCACAGTGTGAATGTTTGGCAGAGTCACATGCCCTTGATAGCAGTCCAGTCCACACGATATGTGTGTTCCAGTGTTCTTTGATTGCCCATCAACTTTCCCAGGCAGCTGTGGGGCTGGCCCATCGGCTGTGCCCACATCCATACATCACAGCCTGTTTTGCTTTCTGTTGTCATGCTTTTTGCCATTGTTTTGCAATTCATATCCTTCCCAGTTCCATGTTCATTGTCTCATTGTCTTATTTGTTACTGCTCTAGACAGACGCTTTCCGCAGAACTCAGTGTTTACTCTGGGTTGCTCCCTATCCTGAAGCTCAGGAGCTAAGCTTAGAAGACACTACCATGTCATACAGCGATAGGTCCCTAACAGACACTGAACTCTGCTTCTGCCATCTGTAGCTGTTGATGTTTTGGTTTGGGGTTTTAATCTGCATCCACAGTTCACCCCTGACATGTTGGCTGTGAGCTCAGTTAATATTCATAACGAGAGAGCATGTTGGCAAAAGTCTCCTTTTCCTGATATCCTGGTAAATGTCCTTTGCACAGGGATTTTGCTTATGTAGCAAGAGACAAGGACACGAGGATTCTGAAATGTCATGTGTTTCGATGTGACACACCAGCAAAAGCCATCGCCACGAGTCTCCACGAAATCTGTTCCAAGGTAAGATGGGTCAGGGCACAGGGTCTACCTTGCACTGCCTGAGCAAAGGCGGAAGGGCGGGAGAGCTGCCTGTGAAATCAAACTGAGGGAGAAACAGGCAGGGTGGTGTTCAACCCGTGTCATTAATGTGTAGTGGACCCTGGAGGTCCAGGGCATATCAATGGCAGTTCCATCGGGGTCACCCACTCACATCTTCAGATACCCGAGTCCCTCATAAGATGGTGGGGTATTTGCATGTAACCTATGTTTACACCCACCCACCCCCTCTCCCCCCACCAATGTCAAGCCACCACTACATTATATACACCTAGAGAAATGACGTTCATCACCTTGCAATGAGCATCGTGAGCTTAGATCGAAAGTGTGAGTTATTCTAGGGCCACTGTGACCTGGCTTCTTTCAGATCCTGAATCCACACCATTGTGTGACTCACTGGTAGGGAACAGGAACATAAAGTGTGACCTGCACAAGTGACCATAGTGTCCCTCACAGAAGAGAGACTGCCTGGAAGACTCAGAGACTCACGATGACATTCTTGAGCCCTCTGGACTCGTTTAATATTGGTTTACTCCACACAACAGCACTGTGACACACATACTCTCATCTGTAGGCAGTGAAGGGAAGCTTAGCTACCCGAGGTCACAGCTAGGAAGGGCAGCGGTGGGATCTGAACCACACCCTCTGTCTCCAGAGCCCTGGGAAGAGTATCTAAGAGCCACCATGGGGCAGCACCAGGGAAGCCTGTCACCCTGTGCTCCCTGAGGTCAGGTGTCCCCAGAGGGTGCGTGCTGGATTGTTCTCCGTGGAGGCGAGAACCAGTAGATGGAAGAAGTCACTTCCAAGCACTTAGGAAGTGCACTGTTACTCTGAGGAAATGTTCACCTGTCGTCCCCAGCGGGAAAAGTGAAATCTCATATGCTATGTAGTGCAGGGACACTGGCCGGGAGAGAAGGCAGAAGATGAACGCTCGTTTAAGTCCCGGTGGGATCGACCCAGACACTTTACTGGCAGGGCTGGCTGGTGACATGGGGGTCTGTAACCGTGAGCCCAAGCTGCACTTTCATTTGATGTTTAGATTATGGCTGAACGGAAGAATGCCAAAGCCCTGGCCTGCAGCTCATTACAGGAGAGGACCAACGTGAGCCTCGACGTCCCTTTGCAAGGTATGTCTACAGCGACTCGTCCTCCAAGGCTCCAGCCAGCCTGGCAAGACTGAAGGGTTGCAGGGGTTCCCTGGTGTCTCAAGTCTCCTTTAAAAGCACACTCAAGGTCTGGGGAGATGGCACCGGCTACTCTTAACAGAATGCCCAGGTTTGATTCCCAGCACCCACGGGCTGCTCACCACCATATGTAACTCCATTTCTGGAGCACCAGTGGCTCTCTTCTGGCTTCTGCTGCCTCTGCATGCATGTGCTGCACATATATGCAAGCTAGCAGCAATTTCATACATATAAAATAAAAACATGCCTTAAAACTGGGCATGGTGGTTGGGGGCTGGAGAGATGGCTCAGAGGTTAGGAGCACTGACTGCTCTTCCCAGAGATCCTTAATTCAATTCCCAACAACCACATGGTGGCTGACAACCAACTGTAATGAGATCTGCTGCCCTCTTCTGGCCTGCAGGCGGGACACTGTATACATAATAAACAAATCTTAAAAAAAAAAAAAAAAGCGTGATGGCCCCCAGCCTAGAATCCAATCTCTAGAATCCGGGAGCCGGCCTGGTTGCTGCATGGTGAGACCCTGCCTGGGTGGTGGCAGGGAAGATGAGCATATGCTCCAGGCCCTGCAGGGACAGAGTTCCCTTTGTCAGTTGTATGGGACACAAAGGGCACTTGTTTTTTGTTGCTGTTGAACAAATGAGAGAATATTCTCAGCAGAGGTTTTTTCCGTTTCGTTTTGTTTTTTAATCCCATATATGGCCCTGGGGTAAGGACTCTCTAGCTTAAAAATATGTAGATTGTTAGGGGGGAGAGCTGCATTATTTCTCCCGTGCCTTTGATTATATTATCCTTTGTGATTAAACTTTCTTTGGGCACCAGCCACACCTAACACACAAGACATGAAAAGCTGTTTCTCAGCACGCAAATGACTTATCAGACCTGGTTTTTGCCTTCCAAAGCATTTCACCTTGAAAGAGAGATCAGTAGGGTTTAGACCTGCAAAGTCCCTATGTCTGGAGTCAAGACATGCTGTGCTTATAGTTCGTCCAGGAACAGGACATACTGGTATGGGTGGCCTTCTGGGCATGCAGATGCCAGACAGACAGCTGGCTGGCTTTCCCTGTCTCCTGGAACTACTGAGAAACGCATTGCTTCTGTTCCCTGTAGTAGATTTTCCAACACCAAAGACGGAGCTGGTACAGAAGTTCCTCGTGCAGTACCTGGGCATGTTACCTGTAGACAGACCTGTCGGTAGGTACAACTTCCCGAGGCTTCCAAAGCTTCCAAGAGCTGTGGGTTCACCCAGGAGGGTGAGGGGCCACTGGATCACTCCTCATCTTGCCCTGACTCCTGCTGCTGTGGTGACATAGCCTGGACGCATGGTCATCTTGATCACATGGGTAATGAGGGCCAGCTAACCTTGATTTGATGTGTGGTCCCAGCATGCAGAGACTCCGAGGGGACTGGCGTGTTTCCTGTTGTCCCAGTATTCCAGAATTGAGCAGCCCAGGACTGCAGAGTACTCTGGCTTCCAGCTCTAGGGCCAGGCCCCTGCCTCCATTCTTACCCACTGGGAACAGGAAGGGAAGACTAATGGCACCCCCATATCTTTGCTTGTTTGTTTTTTTGGTTTTCAAGACAGGATTTCTCTGTGTAGCTTTGGAGCCTGTCCTGGAAGTCTTCTGTAGACGAGGCTGGCCTCGAACTCACAGATATCCGACTGCCTCTGCCTCCCGAGTGCTGGTATCAAAGGAATTCCGTCACCACCACCCAGCAAGCCTGTGTGTCTTTACACGGTGACCCAGAAGTGGTGTCGCCAGTGTTCAGGTCCTACCCCAGGAACTGAGGTGCTCTGCTTGCCCTGGTTCACGGAGAGGCTGAGATCTGTAGCTTCTCCCTGGCTGGAGGAGGCGGTGGAGAAGTCAGTGCTCTGCTGGGGATAAAGTGAAGCTCTCTCTGGGCAGCAGTTCCGCAGTTCCTCAAAGCATTCACGACTATAACCGTTGTTTGACCACACCTGCCCCGCCTCACAAGTGCTGGGATTAAAGACGCCCACCACCATCACCAGGCCTGTGTGGGATTAACACGAATGCTAATAATAGGCAGAGAGAGACAGCAAGCAAGAGTTGATTTGAGGCTAGGCTGTAGGGAACATAGGGAGTAGCCCCCTAAGAGTTACAGGCGTGCTGAAAATATTCTAAAATTGATTTGATGGTCACGCTGTGAATATATTGAGAACCACTGAGTAGTATGCTTTAAAAAGTGAATTCCACGTGACTTATATGACAATAAAGTTGTTACATCTGAGCAGGCAAGATAGCTCAGGGGGCAAAGGACAACTGGAAAGCTGTCCGCTGACATACACACACATGCTGTGTCATGTGCTCACACACACACAATACACAGATTTAGTTTGTTTTAAACGTGTTTGTTCTGCAACTAGCAGAGGAACCCCACTGGACAGTATGTAGTGTTTCTGTAACGGGGCCCTCAACTCTGGCCTGACTAAGTGTCAGTGTGGTGAAGGAGGGCCTAGCAGTCTGGTGGATGCCGGCTTCTCTTGGGTCTCCTTCCCCGGGCTCTCAAAAGACAGGGTTGAGGTTGGAGTGTCCTAGTCTCATAGACAGTACAGGGACACACACACACATGCACACACACACACACACACACACACACACACACACAGAGGCATGCATGCACACTCGCACACCTGTACATACACTGGATTCTTGGAGGTGTTCATGACTCTACTGGAAAAACTGTTTTTGTTTCTGTTTGTTTTTTGTTTTTTCTGAGAAAACTTGAGAATAAAGTGATAAGTGGCCGACTCCAGGAGCTACAAAGGTCACGTTACTGAGTGATTGGGCCAGCATTAGAGTGAATTTTCCATTGCCCTTTCTGTCTGTAGGCATGGACACCCTGAACAGTGCCATAGAAAACCTTATGACCTCATCTAGTCAGGAGGATTGGCCTTCTGTGAACATGAACGTGGCAGATGCCACTGTGACAGTCATCAGTGAAAAGGTGAGGAGTTGGGGGACGCTGGCTTGTGGGCTGTGGGGGAGGTTTTGGATACAATGGTCTTTCACAAGGCCTGGAAACAGAGTCAAGTCTTGCCTTCTTGGAGGTTATACTGACTTGTGATTAAAATGACCTACATTCATAGAAGATTTGGGGCTTTGTCTAGGTCTAATTGTGCCTTCCTTGTGAGGACCTGGAAACCTCTATCCTGATAGACCGATTCTGCCTTCCTCACTTGCTCCAGAGATTAAAATTATTCAAGGTGGCACTTGGCACGAGCATTAGCTTACTGGGGATGTTGGTTTTGTTTGGACTCTGGTGTGGAGTAGACCGTGCTGTCTGGGGTTGGGTGCAAACGTTGCTTGTGCTAGGGAAGCCCATTGATATATTACTTCTGGAGAACAGATCATTGATCATCCTGACAGGTTGGCGTTAGCCTCAACCCAGATTATCCCATCGTAGTGATTGAACGAAGTCACTTGTCTAAGATCAAATTGGAAACACAGGACAGGCAGTCTGAGTCCAACACACTTTACAAAGGTGTATGAAGCACATGTGCTGGGGAGACCTCAGGTCATAGACACATCCCAGCTTCTGCCACCAACAAGTCACCGTCACCCACTTCACCCCCATCGGTGGGCAGAATATTGCCCTACCTCTCTGCTTGTGCTGGATTTCACTCTGCTCCTAAAGTATGCTGCTGCGCCCTCTCCACTGCCGTGTTCTGGCTGGTGCAGTTCCCTCCCTGTACCACCCCTTTCCCCGTACCCTCTCTCCAAAAGTCCAGGTCCAGCATCTCTTCCCCAAACCTCCTGACCTCTCTGTCCAGGGTAGTCTGCCTGTGAGATGTCTCACTCCTGAATGAATATTTAACAAGCCAGAGTCTAGCTGTGTTTACTAATGCACACATTGCCCGTGGTTGCTGCCATGGATGTCAGCTATGAATCACACACATATCTTTATTCTGCCGTGTGTGTGTGTGTGTGTGTGTGTGTGTGTGTGTGTGTGTAGTAGGAGGGGGTAAATTGACAAATGTGTTGATTAAGCAGCATTTTATCTTCCACAGTGTTGGAGATGATTTGATGCTTGAGTAAAAATCGATGGAGAGAGACTTGTGAATCTTCTTCTCCTGGACCCTCGACCCTCGAGGTTCACATAGACCAAGAGGTCTTGAGCCACTGAGTGTCCTGCACTGGGCAGTATATAGAAGTATATCTGACATTGTTCCTCACACAACAAAGAGCAGATGTGGGCTGTGGTGGATAGAGAATGGGGAACACATCCCATCCACAACAGCAGTGTGAGTCACTGTGAGACAAGATACCAGGAGGCACCCACGCCAGTGATGTGAGTCCTACCGGGCTCTGCCAGCTGGGTTCTCTGAGTTATTTTAGGTGTGAAGTTTTTGCTGATGGCTGTCTGGCTTCCCAGAGAGTACAGGTGCTGAATGATGTCTCTTGCAGAGCGAAGAGGAAGTCTTGGTGGAGTGTCGAGTGCGGTTTCTGTCCTTCATGGGTGTCGGGAAGGACGTCCACACATTTGCCTTCATCATGGACACTGGGAACCAGCGCTTTGAGTGCCACGTGTTCTGGTGTGAGCCTAATGCCGCCAATGTGTCAGAAGCTGTCCAGGCCGCCTGCATGGTGAGAAAGCCTACTCTGTGCTCAACCCACCCTGACCTGCTTGTTCTAGATGCTGTATGTTAGAGCGGAGATCCTTATGTAAATCCAAAAGCCCTCTATTTTATAGCACTCTCATAGTTGTGGGCAGAGTCTGTTAAGACTGGCAGAGCACACCTCAGGAGTCAGGGCTCTGTAGAGAATCAGTAAGACTTAAGTGTCATCTATTCTGGGCCCCTAATTAATAATTTCAGTATGTGATCAAGAAATGCTAGTTGTGTGTGAGTTATCAAAGTCTGCCTTCAAAGCAGTATCTTTTAAAAAAATTAACAAGTGATTCTTTTGTCCGTGGTTGTTTTCAATGCCTTATTATTATCTGTTTATTATTTATCTCTTAATCCTCACAACAACCGTAACTGGTAGTTGGTTTTGTTTATGAGATAAGAGAACAGAGGCACACATACCTTTAATCCCAGCACTTGGGAGGCAGAGGCAGGGAGCTCTCTGTGAGTTCAAGGCCAGCCTGGTCTACAGAACGAGTTCCAGGACAGAGAGAGAGAGAGAGAGAGAGAGAGAGAGAGAGAGAGAGAGAGAGAGAGAGAGAGAGAGAGAGAGAGAGAGAGAGAGAGAGAGAGCGTCAGCCGCACAGCCCCAGCCCCATGGTCCATGGTGCTAGGTCACAGGGTTCTTCCCAGCATGTCTGATTTGAGATGAAAACATCTCTTCGTTGAGCAGATGTGCTCCGGGCACCTTTCAGGCACACATTGCAGAATTTGTGGTCAGAGACAGGAACCGTGAAAGTGGGCACCAGGGCAGTTCGGGTCGGTCTCTGGAACCGGTGGAAGAAATAGGACGCCTGTCATGAAAGACTGGTGAAGTTTGACTCTCTCCAGCAAAGATTATCAAGTAGGAACTGGTCATCTCTAGCTTCTAGAGCTTTTAGGGTGTGGTTTTTGAAAAGGTCTCACAGTAGCCCAGGTTGGCCTGGACCTCATCGTGTAGCCTAGACTGGTGTGGTGATATCTTTCTTCCACAAATTAAGCCTTTCTGAGGGTCAGAGAATGGAGCTTGCCACTAGCTAACCATAGAGGTCTGTACAGACAAACAGGAAGTGACATAGCTGGGCAGAAACAGGATATAATCAGGGAGACACAGGAAATTGCTCTCCTCTTCTCTTCTGAGATGCTTAAGAGGTAAGGTGTGCTGTGGCTTGCTCCTCTCTGATCTCTCAACATTTCCCTCTATGTCTGATTCTGGCCTTTTATTGTCTAGACCAATTAAGAACTCCTTTTACAGACTGGCTTCAAACTCTCAGCAATCCGATGCCTCAGCCTTCCTAGCAATGGGACTATAAGCGTGTGCCACCACTTCCCGCTCATACTGGGGCTTTAAAATAGGATTCCATCCAAAAGGAAGACAATCCGTCTTCCTGCTGATCTTTCCTGGCGAGAGCGGGTTTAAAGTACATCTTGAGGTGTAGCAGTCAACTCAGGGGCTCTCAGCTAGTGTAGACTAGAGAGACAAGGAGAGTGCTCCTCAGGAGGCAGCCAGAAGAGCTAATGAGGCTGTGACCTCTGAGTGATGAGGTGGAGCACTTCCTCATGTGGGCATGGAGGAGTCCCTTCTCTGTGTCACTAGGGTGCACAGACCCCAGGGAGCCCCAAGTGTGAGTCAGGGAGGTCAGGTGGGAGAGGCACAGAATGTAAAACCGCATGGTAGTGTGGAAAGAGCTCTCAATGGAGGGGACTGTACTAGACGGAGAAGGAATTGACAGAGAGAGCTCTGAAAGTGGGGCTAAGACAGTCTGTCAAGGGAGTTGTCTCAGGGACAACACTGGCTGGTCTGTGAGCTTGGTTAGTTTAGGATGGAGGCAATCTGCACACTCGTGCTAAAGAACACACATATAACGTGTGCCCCGTGGTGACATTTCTGTGAATGACAGGCCGCACATAAGACAGTGGTTTCATGAAATATAGCGGGGTTGGGAACTACCTATTGCCTACAGCACATTTGTGGGTTTGTTTGTTTTCAAGGGTTTTCAATTTTCAGTCCTCTGTGTAAAAGTTTGCAGCACCCTGGCAGGTCAGCCACGAAGACTCTTACCTCTCTTGCCTTTACCCCTCTTTGTTGTCCTCAGCAGTGCTCCTCTCTGTCATCCCCACTGCTGGCCTCGGCAGTGCTCCCCCCTCACTGTCATCCCCACCGCTGGCCTCGGCAGTGCTCCCTCCCTGTCATCCCCACTGCTGGCCTCGGCAGTGCTCCATCACTGTCATCCCCACTGCTGGCCTCGGCAGTGCTCCTCCCTGTCATCCCCACTGCTGGCCTCGGCAGTGCTCCTCACTCTCATCCCCAGCTCCTTTTGCCGTCCTCTTGGCGTCTTTTTCCTCTCATATAGGCCATGTCTTGCAAGGTTGCATTGGGCTCATTTTTCCTTGCACAATCCAAGGAATCATAAATCACACCAAAGCCAGTTGTGTCATCCCCAGAATGAGTTCCGAATCCAGATTTCTTTTAAAGACATCTGGTGTGGTTTTACACATTTTGTACATCCTCCTGACTGCTTTCCTAAATTTCCGTCTTAGGTATTCACCAGGGTGAAGGACGTTGGTGACTATTTAGACAGCGGAATAGGAAAAGAGCAAATTAGTTACAGGTACCTCTGAGGCCAGTGAGCCGGTCATCGGGTGAAGAAAGGTACTCGCCACCAAACCTGGTGACCTCATTTTGAGCCGTGGCCCTGGAGCCCATGTGAGAACAGACCAGCTCCCACGAGTTATCCTCTGACTTCCACACGTGTGCTGTAGCACACACACGCATGTGCTCACACACCCGAACACGCACGCGCCCATGAACTTTCTTTTTTATCTTTCGGGCGCTGTTAACTCGGGGAGGGGAGGGGAGGAAGAGAGACCTGGGACCCACACTCCTTCTGGTTCCCACTTAGAGGTCCTCAGTGGCAGGGGTGTCCTCTGACTGCTGTGTATCCGATATTAACGCTCACAAGCCTGGATGTCAAGGAGCAGGGCTAAGGGGAGAGCAGCGGGGGAGTGCGGGAGTTGAGGTGAACCTGGGAGCCAGGTGTAGAGCCTTTAGGTGGGAGGAAGGGGCTTTGGGAAATAAACAAGTGCTATTCAGTCAGGCAAAAGCTAGATATTTTACAAAGTTGAAATGGAGCATAGCAGATGGTTTGGGTCTAAAATGAATGGCTTTCACTCTTAATTATACATTTTAAATGCTAATGGCAGTTAGCTAATTAGTTTTATCAGTGGCTACAGTTTTGTTTTTCCATATTCCCAGACTCATTTTTCCACTTGAAAACACTTTTTTTTAATAAAAATTTTATTAATGCATCCAGCTGGAGTAGCTCAGGCAGTGATATAGAAGGCATGTGGGGACAGTCCACTACACTCTGATCCAGCTGGAGTAGCTCAGGCAGTGATATAGAAGGCATGTGGGGACAGTCCACTGCACTCTGATCCAGCTCTCCCCAATGAAGGGTTCCCTTCTTCATTCCAGTCCATGTCATTCTTCATCTGGGATACTTACACATGGATTTGTACTGTAGGAGCTATGGTAGTGACACATTCTTTGGAATTCACTTCTAAGGCCCATTTTGCAGCTGTGTCTGTCCTATAGCCCTAAGTGAAGACACTTTAGTCACATTTCAAATGGGTCAGAGGGGATTTTTTATTTATGAATCTCATTAGTTCTGTGCAGTTTTGATTCATGATATACATACAAAGCTACTGTCTGTAATTTCAAGTCCAGGGCTCAATGTTACCACGCATGCCTGCTGATAAATTGATGCTTTAGGGGTGTGTGATTGGTGATGCAGACCTAGCAAGATGTTCTTCCCTGAGCAGACATGTAGTAACATCTTTTCATGTGTATTGCGTTGAAGGGACCAGTTTTCTGGCCTGTGGGATATGAGAGACTACTCTAAGCTGCAGTTCCTTGTTTTGGTGGGTGTTTTCATGTGTTTGAGAGAGAAGCAGCTGTAACTGGGCCAAGACATCTGTTGACATTTCACTTCACTTGTGAAGATGAGAAAGAAATGGTAAACCTCATCTTTTTCATCTAGCATGGAAGAATTACTTAACTTTCTACGAGTACAAACACAAGTGGAATGTTTTGATGTATTTCTCTTTTAAAAGTTTTTATTGCCAGGTGGTGGTGGCACATGCCTTTAATCCCAGCACTCAGGAGGCAGAGACAGATGGATCTCTGTGAGTTCCAGGCCATGCTGGTCTACAGAGTGAGTTCCAGGACAGCCAGGGCTACACAGAGAAACCCTGTCTCGAAAAGAAAAGAAAAACCGTTTTTATTAGTGTACGTGTGTACATGGTGTGTGTGAGAAAGAGTGCCTAGTACACAGGTGCCCCGTGTGGAGGTCAGTGGACAGCATCTGGGAGTCCTCTCCTACTGTGGGTTTCTGGCATCAAACTCGGGTTGTTAGGTTTGAGCACCAAGTACCTTTACCTGCCATCTCAGCAGGCCTGTGCTGTTATATTTCTGAAGGATAGATATGCCCGTATTGCCAATGCTAATGGCGGTCTGCTTTGCTTTGTTTTTTAATCTCTTACAGTTTATACTCGAACATAAAAGAGATACTGAAATCTCAATACAACATTTTCTATTAAAGTAGGAAACAAGAGACGGGAACAAATATGTGTTGCCTGACTTGTTTGAGGCTTTCTGTAGTTTGCCTCATTCTTTATTCTCAAGTACTTTAAAGGCACTAAGGGTTGGAGAAATGCAATAGAGCCTGGATACAGACGGTGCCCTTTCTAGCATGCCGTGTCACAAGCACTTACCTGTGTGTACAGGTGTGATGGAAAACTTAGTTAACGCCCTCTCTCTACTAATAATTCTTTCCATTTGGTTAGCTTTTGACTGTGAGCGGTGACTGGAAAGGAAGGGAGGCCAAACAGCTGTGGGAAACATCCCACACTAAGAATGAAATGAATGTGGACTGCAGGTGTGCTCAGTGGTAGAGCCTTGCCTTGAAAAACCAAGGGCATGACGGGATCAGTCTTCACCACCACACAATAGAAATGGTAGTCGTATGGGGGGAGGGGAGGAGTGGCTGCACTAGGAATGGTGATGAAAGTAATAGCAGATGGTGGTGGTGTGGGGGGTGGTGGGGGTGGTGGGGTGGGGATGGGGGTGGTGGGGTGGGGATGGGGGTGGTGGGGTGGGGGTGAATTCCTACTTAGGAGCCACCAGGCCACTAACTTTTGAGGGTCAACATATTGGCAGCGAATCACAAGCACAGTAACCAAGAAGAATGTTACCTAAAATGCCGCCTGCTTGTTTTATTCCAGTTGCGGTATCAGAAGTGCTTGGTAGCCAGGCCACCTTCACAGAAAGTTCGACCTCCACCCCCGCCAGCGGACTCCATGACTAGAAGAGTCACAACTAATGTAAAACGAGGGGTCTTATCTCTCATTGACACTTTGAAACAGAAACGCCCTGTCACAGAAACGCCCTAGCATTGAGTCTGGGGGCTCAAGGATTCTGCCACTTACTCCTGAAGATCAAACATCTACACTAAAGAAGCCGACAGCTGGCCTTCCTCCATTCTGTTGCTGATGCTCTGTCTCCAGAGAATTTATCCCTAACCGAACATGTTAGACAAGCATGTGATCTCGACTTGCCACCATCGTGTGACATGAAAAGAAGCATGAGGTTTTTTGTTTTGTTTTGTTTTGTTTCTGTAAGTTACATCATGGGCAGTGGAAGGTCTTTTTTTTTTTTTACTGTAAATATTGTGAACAGAACTTCACACGTACTCAGAAGAATGTGGCCACAGCCTTCCTAGAGAACTAACACTACGTCCCTGGAGTGAACCATGCCCGAGCTCGTTTTGCTGTCCTCTTGATTGGCTCTGCCGTACACAACCTCGGGGTCCCGCGGCACGTTGCCCTGTTTTCAGCTTTTAAAGCATCCAGACCCTGAGGAACAGATGCCACTGACTTGCTGTAAAAAGAAAGTGACGCGTTTGGGTTTTAGTTTTTCATAAAAGTGAACCCGTCGGTTGACAAAATTAGCTGTTGGCATCAGTACAGACATCAACCAGTCACTTTCCTCAGCGAGTTCTCTGATGTATAGACACCCTTTCATGTCTACAGCTGTTTGGGGTGCTGGGCAAAGGAAAACTTTAAAATTGATAGAAAACAAAATTTGAGGAATTCAAATCAAGAAAAAAAAAGCCTTTCTTTTCAGCTGGTTTTCAAACCGGTTATTTTAAAAAAGAGATTAACAGAATCATAATGCATTTGGGATGGGACATATTTCAAACTTCTGCCTTACGTTGTACAATGCAGCTAGAGCATTAAAGAGTACTATGGCCATTCTTCACCCACACCTGAAAATGAAATATTCCCACACTTTCCATCCTTAGTTTGATAACGAGCTAATATGCAATTTAGAGTTGAGGAAATGTCATTTATCTCTGTCACACACTATGATTTTAGATCTCCACTGTATGATTCTTGTAAGTTCACATCCTGGAGGTAAATGTATTCCCAGGATTCCCTATCTGCCACAACCTTTCTCTATGCTTTTTGTCCAGAAAGCTGTCTAGCCATCATATATTGTCCATGGCAACAAATTTAAGTTGTATTTTTCCTGAATTTATGTATTTAATGTTAGAAATTGGTAAGATTTGACTAGCTATGTTTTAAGATTTCTATTTTTTTCCATTTTGCTTTCAAGATTTTTTTTCTTATCAGAGCAAAATCTACACAGAAATAATGGGTTGTTTGATAGTGTCCCCCAAATATCATTTTATGTAGCCAAGAAACCTAACTATAAAGATACACAAATTTAGACTCTTACTACATTATTATTTTAGGAAGTTGCAAAGGAGATCAATCTTACTCTTATTTACTTTTAATGTCAAAATTGATATCTTATAGAAGCAATGCTTTATGTTTATACACTGTTTTGCAGTTGTCAGAATGCTTCCCAGGTTTTATCACATTTGAGCCTTACAAGGTAGAAAAGGTACTAAACTCACTGAAGAAATCACAATACACAGTACCTAGAGGCTAAATGAGTGGCCTAGGATTGCGACAAAGTCCTTGAGAGCCAGAAGCAGGGCCCGCATCCAGATTTTGCCACATTACATGCCTCCTCCACACAGCCAGGAAGACCCTTCACAAATGACTCTGGGTCCATGCAAGGAAGAACAGATACTGAAAATACTGTCAGGCAACTGCACAATTCCCAGGTGTGTTAAGGAAAATGTCCAGTCTGTGTACAGAGTGGCTGTCATTGTTAAGACAATTGTCCTTTCTCAGTCCAGGACTGTGTGTCCTCAAATGTGTTGTAGAGGACAAATAAATGTCTGTCCTCAGCAGCCTGTTCCAAGCTGAGATTTTCTAGAAATTACATTGCTTGTGGCCCTCAGCCACCACGGAGCATGGTGAGGTGAGTGAGAGCCCTCCACCTGTGGGTCCCTCAGAAAACCCGTGGAGTTAGATGCAGAGAACCTGGGCTGTTCGCTGGCATCCACACATGACAATAAAAGCAATGCTACTTGTTAACACTCGGTGCCAACTTGCACACTAGCTGAAGTAACCAGTGCCACCTGAGAAATTTCTGCATTAAGAAGACTTTACTGTGCCCAGAGGAAAACTGCTCAGAATCTAGTTATCCTGGCCTCTCATTTTAAGCTCCACGGTGAAATGTTCTAAGGCACTCAGCTTCAAAACTCAAAGTAATCCAGTTTCTATAGGAAGTCTCTACCCGGTCCCTGTTCATTTCTAAGACCTACATTTGTTTCTTTTCAGGATCAAGAATACTGAGCTAGCTTTAAGTAGCAAACTGATTTATATATGCAATTTCAGGGTGCAGTAAGATGAATAATAGCCTTTACGTATGAAGAACTCTTACTGCAGCTGTTTTGTTTTGAAAATAGCTTTGTGTACTAAATGCAGGTTGATTTTGTAAAATGAATTATGTTAAGCAGTATGTTCAGACAACTTTCTGCCATGGCCAAAAAGTATGTATGAAAGTATGTTTGCGTTTGTTTGTGAAGGGATGCCAATGTTTTACCTGAGATCGTAGTGATTCTTCAGTTATCTATGCATTCTTTATATCCGTGATTCGGTAAACAGGCAGCCGTGTTCACTATGCCTCGTGTGTCTTATCATTTTCTTAATTAACTTGTTAAATACAGCTTAAAATATTTTTATTTTATTTATTCTATTTTTACTGAAATATACTGCATTGTTGTGTTAATGTATTCTCTTTCCTGGGTAATAATGTCAGTGTACCCGGGTCTGAGTTATCTCAGTGAACTACATTGCCTAAAAGGTGGTTTTGTAATGATTTGTAGTCACATTTCTATTGGGATATGTAGAAGCAAGGGCAAAATGCTTAAAGTTCCTTTTATTTTTTAAAAGCAACTAGGTAGATATGCTCTGACCACCTTACCTGTGCTCCTCGGCCGCATCAGCGTGGTAGCCAACATGCCTATGGGCTAAGAACTTTTCTCCGTAGACTGAGGCACTGTGCGGTGCTTCAATTTTATACCCTTCACGTGTGTACTTCACCAGAGATGCACATCTGTCCACGTGCCCTGTGTTTCCTCCTGGATTCAAGATCACCCATAGCTAATTAGAACCACTGTTTGTCTGTCTGTCTTACTGCATGAAGGGACATTAGACCCATTTCCATTAAAACAAATTCTTGGTGATACAACTGTTGGCACTGCTACTTTTTTTTTTAAATCCACATTAGGCATTTGAAAAAGACACATAACAGACCACTCACAACAGGGCCACTTACAGCCCCAAAGCTTCCCTTAGCATATGGCACACTCACTTTATGAACATTGCAACACAAGGTTTCAAAAGCCACTTGGAAAAATGTCTCCCTGACATTAGCACAATTGAATCAACCCAAAAGCTCTCTATTGGCCAGGCTTAACCTAACATCTGATGTGCTCACTGCCAGTAAGAAAGCAATTAAACTTGTTTCAGCACACCGGGGGTGTGGCTAAGTGGTAGGGCGCTTGCATAATATGCAGATCTGAGTTTAATCCCTGGAACCACGTTGGGGGTGGGGTTGCATTTCAAGGCAAAGATCTTGACTTCCACCATCTGTGAGAGCATTGCCAGGCCGCCACGTCAGCCACTTCCTCCTGAAAGGACACCTTGTTTTCGTTTTGATGCCTTTTGCTGTGGACCACGTTTACACATTTAAATGTAAAATGTTGTGAGAATAAATGTAGCTGCATACAATGTTTGACTCGTTTATCTGACAGCATGGCCACATATATAAGAAACATACAAACTTAGTGTCTCTACAGTAGTTATTTTATTTTTGTATTATTCCGACTCCAAATTAAACTTTTTAAAAATCATTTTAGTAATGTAAGATTCTGCTTTCATTAGTGTTTTCCCTCTTGGTGAGAATGAGCTAGTTTAACTTTGAGTAATTGCTTGCCCTTACTCTTTGGTCAGTAGAGACAGCTAGCATTCTGAACACATCTAGTCATCAGTTGGAATTTTTTGTGAGCAGTCTTTTAGGGTTAAGGTATTTCAGCACACACAAGAAGTCTGCCTTTCATTCCTGTAAGAATGACAATAGAAGTGGGAAGGGCATTAACCCCCAAATGAAAGGCGGTAACTCGAGAGTCAGTTGGGTCTGGTTTAACTCCCTCACACACAGAAGAAAAATAATTAAAAGTATACATTTTATTCATTCCTTGTCTTGTGTTGTTTTGTCTTTGAGATTGACCTCATCATGTAATCCAAACTGGCCTCGAACTCCTGCCCCAGCCTCCTGAGTACTGGGATTACAGTATGCCACCACACTCCACCTTCTCTTGTGCTGCTAAAGACAGTAACTCTCAATGAACGGCATCCTGCTTCCAGGGGTTTTACACTGGTAATAGTTTCAGGTGAGAATCTGAATTTGTTTGGGCAAGGCTCAGGGTTCAATCCCCAGTACCACAAAGTAAATAAATAAATTGAAAAAATATGAATTGTTGCTGCAGTATTTAAATACTAGTAGTCTGATTATGTTTTCATTTTGCAGCACTTCAAGCTCAAGAAAGTACAAAGCAAATTAAAAGACAGAGTGACCAGCAATCTTCACCAGAGTTCACTCATGTTGCTTTTATCCTGTTTTCCTTCTTTCTTTATCAGTAAATAATTGATCTGTCTTCCCAAGAAGATTGCCAAAGAAGAGCATACAAGCTTAATAGATGAATGATTCCATTCGGGATCTCCATGAATGTGCAAAGAGAAAACTAACTTAGTGCAAGTCAGGAGACACTGAAGTGACTAAAAGTGGTGACACAGTCACACACTGCTAGAGATCAGAAAATACCCGAGCCTCCAGGAGGCAGGCAGTTAACCAAGGAAATACACTTGAAAATAAAAATCTTCAGCCCGGTAGAATGGCTTTCAGCCTGAGCTCCCTTGCTGGGATGAAATGACAGCTCTGCTCTGGATGATGGTAAATTAATTTGAAGAGATGTGTGCTTTATATCTTGGTAAAATACCTAAGCAATGGAAGCAGTGTAGGCTTGTATTTTGTAGGTCTGGGGATGGAAACTGGCACCTGGTATCTGCTAAGCAAGGCCTCCACTGCTGAGCCATCTCCCAGCCCAAACAAGATATTGCTGAGCAGCTCAGGCTAGACCGTACCGGGGAAGGAAACCCTCTGCCTGTTTCCTAAGTTCGGCGCATTCTAAGAGTCATAGCCAGAAAGACTTCTCCGGAATATAAATATAAACCTCTTGAAGTATAAACTCATTTTCTTCACCCACAGATTTTAATGGAAAATATAAATCTTTGGCTGAAAGGAAACTGCACTATGAAAACTAAACCCAACAATCCTTTGTCCTTCCCAGTTCAAGCGAGCCAAGAAAAACCACTAGAGCTAAAACAGATCCCAGTGTACTAAACTAAGCATTATTTAGCACTCACTCACACTTCTCCACAACTGGGTTCTGGAGATAAAGCTTTACATTCAAACTCCACATGTGTTGGAACTCTTTAAAAAGAAGTTTGTAGTCATAACTTTATTTAATGTCAAACAATTTCTGTTGCCATGATGAAAAAAATCAGACCCAGAAATGACAATTGGTAGGCAATTGTTACTATAACTAAGAGTAATTGACATTTAATGTATTAACATAGTGCTCTAATGTATTTTAATTGGGCATCAGAAATGAGTTACCAAGGTTTGATCACTGTGTGCCATAGAAATGACTTGTATATTTGGCTGTATCACCTGATCTTTGCATAAAAACAGAAATCTTGAGTTTTCTCAATGATACATTGCTTGTATTCAGCAGTTAGACCTCTTTCTCAGAACAAGAATGCTTAGATAGAGTTTGCTTGCTGTCCTTTCCCAACAGCGTGTGGATAAACAGAAGGCAGGGATTATTGTGTGCAGTCTACTCCAGACTCTAGAATTCTCCAGAAACATTTTTTTCTGTATGGACATCTGGACTGTGCACAACTGGCACTGGGGATCTCCTGTGCTTCCTAGTCCTACCCAAATCTCAGTTCATTACAGAACCTTCTGGCATGCCCTGTTTCAGGAACAGTGGGATGCTTAAGGAAAAAACTGGCCTCCATTGGGATTCAAGAGGCTTCACCAACAGTAACTGCCTGGCTAAGGAGTGGTCTCCACGTCCTGGCTGGAGCTGGAGTGGCCGGAATAGGGCAGGACTTTGTACGACTCCCTCAGTGAAGTCTGCACAGCAGCCCGCTAGAAGGTGTGCTCTGTTCCCTTCAGTAAGACAGCTGCTTAGTCCACACTTTAAACGAGGAGTGAGACAAGCTCTGCCAGCTCATCAGTCTGCAGCTGGGCATCCTAAAACAGATCAACGCTGAGCTGACGAAGCCTTGGCTTGCTCACCCAGTCCCCTCCATTAGTATTTCTCATCCGTCTTCATTCTCTGGAGGTAAAATTGCACTAGAAGATACTAAGCGACCTAAAGCCCCAGTATCTTGTGTTACAGTGTCTAAACATAAATCCCAGCCAGCCTGGAGGAAGGGCCACAGTCAAAGCCATGGTCTGGGATGCCTGAGAAGGGAGGGAGTTGTGTTTTCTTTAGGTTTCTCCCCTCTTTTGGGTGCTGATGATGTAACATAGCTGGGCATGCAAGCCTTTGACCCAACCAAACGATAGTATAAGTGGTTTGCTGGCATCTGAGATCTGGCCCCCTGGATGGAGAACGGGAACATCACAGGAGGCAAAACGATCTCAACAGATTTCAGAGGAAACACTTTGCCTTCTGGCCGAGTTCGTCTCAAGATCATCTGCCGTTCTTCTGGCCTGGAAGGACAAGTGTTCTTCGTCAGTGTGGTCACTAAAGGATTGGTGGCAGGCTTGTTGGGTTTTCTGACCTGGGAGGAAGTACCCACTTGAGACACAGTTTTTGATGGGAGAGGTGTTTTTGGTGTGAACGCCTCGATTCGGGAAGTACCCGCTTTACTTTCTCGGTTCAGGAACTCAGTGATTTTCATTTGGATGTCATTGTTATCATTAGCAGGAGCTTTGGGCAGTGACATTTTGGATTTCTTCCTCTTCTTCTCCCGTTTGGATGTCTTCCCAACATCAACTCCATCCAGTAGACCTTTGGCCGCAGCTCGGGCCAGAACATCCTTCACAGACACGGTCTCGGACGGGTCTCGCTGCAATGAAAGTGACAGCTGTTAATGTTGGAGGCCACCATCAGTGTGAAGATTTTAAATATCTGTCAGTGATTCAGTGAAGATTAAAACATACTAAAGTAAATGTTTTTTAGGTCTCAGACCCTAACGTAACTAATAAATCCCCCAAAATAACATTTTTCTTAGTTCAGCTTCCCCATTTACAAACCTCATAAGAATCACACTGCTATTTCTTATATGTTAAGGAAGGAAGATACAGTAGACAGTTGGCAAACTGCCGGGAGAGGCACAAGCAGAGGGCAAGCCAAGAGGAATGCTGAGGAGAAGTATGGAATGCATGATCGAATGCCACCAGCGATAATCCTGTCCTGCCCTCCAGATACTCATGAAATACAAGCAGCCACAGCAAAATGAGCATGAAGTGGGTTCCGATGGCAAGAGTTTTTTGTTTTCGATTCCAAAGTACGTCATGGACCAGGAGTTTTCTTCCTTCTTACCTCTCTTGTTAAAATAGAAAGAAAGCAACCGTTGGTAACATCGGATGGTTCCACTCTGAAAAATTTGTCCATGGACAATTGTATTTCTTTTAAGGAGCACAACGGAAGAACAGGAGGACTGAGTCTAGGAAAAGAAACATCCAAGTTAAACTGGCTGCTTCTCTAAGAGAGGAAGACAGTAGTCTTCCACTCTATTTCTGTTTGCCCATCACTTAAGTAAAAATCTCAAATAAGAAAAAAGGCTAAAGCTTTCTTCCCCCAGATCTTAAATTGAAAGCTCAGTATTTCATATTAGCTCATACTTTGTTATACTTCCAATGTCTCTAAACAACTATGCCAAGAATAGCCTCAGTGAAGACTCTCTAAGGGTTAATGTGTTATGGACATAGGCGAGTGCAGCAATCACAAATGACGGATGTATAATAGCAGGACTGGAGATGCAGCTCAAGGAGTGGCGTGCTTCCCTAAGACACAGGAAGCCATGGGTTGGATCCTGAGCACTGCATAAACTGGGCACAGTGACACAGACCTGGGACAGGGACAGGAAGGACAGAATTTCAAGATCATAGTTAGCTACATAGCCTGTACAAGGCTAGCTCCTGGGCTGCAGAAGACCCTATCTCAAAGCAAACAAGCAACTACAGCAGCCAGCAGGGCTGGTGAGATGATTCAGCAGGCAAAAGCACAAATCTGATGCCCTGCATTCACTTTTGGTCACACATATAAGAAGAGCCAAACTGACTTCCAAGTCGTCCTCTGACCGCCACATATATTCTCTCTGTATTATTCTCTCTGTCTGTCTGTCTGTCTGTCTGTCTGTCTCTCTCTCTCTGTCTGTCTCTCTCCCTCTCTCTCTGTCTCTCTCTCTGTCTCTCTGTCTCTCTCTCTCTGTCTCTCTCCCTCTCTCTCTGTCTCTCTCTCTGTCTCTCTGTCTCTGTCTCCCTCTGTCTCTGTCCCTCTTTGTCTCTGTCTCCCTCTCTCTGTCTCTCTCTGTCTCTCCCTCTCTCTCCCTCTTTCTCCCTCTCTCTGTCTCTGTCTCTCTCTCCCTCTCTCTCCGTCTCTCTCTGTCTCTCTCTGTCTCTGTCTCTCTCTCCCTCTCTCTCTGTCTCT